GCAACTGAAGATTTTGAAATTGTTATGACTAATTCTCTCTGAGCATCAGCTCTGTGCTCACCCCAAAGAACGGAGAAGAAAACAGAAAAGGTGTTACAATTCTATCAACCCAAAGCACACCTGCACCCCGACACAGCAGGCAGCGCTGGCTACAAGAGCAGGAGATGAAATCAAAGGCAGTGATGGGCTTGGACAGCGGAGCTGAGGACAGGTAGGAGACATGTAAAATCATAACTGGTTCAATAAGAATACAGAAGGGTTATCTGTAGCTTCAGCCTGAGGTGCAGCTACTTCCTCCTGCAGCAGAGAGCTCTCAGCCACCCCCAGCAGTGGCCATGCTGGCGTTTCTCTTTCAAGTACCTCTATTCTTGTAGGAACTGAAAAGGGTTAATTTTAATAGATTAAAGTGGATTCTGCCGTGCGGTTTGTTGGAAGTTTTTGCGTTGTGATAAAACACACTCCTCCCTTTAGAGCAGAAAACATAGCATGGATTGGTCTCCAGAGTCCAACACACAGCGCTGGGCTGGCCGCTGTGCGCTCTGCAACACTGCGCGAGGACACCGACCAGAAGCACCAGCACTGCTGCTCTGCTAGGAAGGAGCCCACAGCAGCTGAGAAGCAGTTGTTACACTGCTTTGTTACGTTACATATCACTCACATTTGCATATCAGCATCATCAAGACTGACAAAGCATATCTTGATGCCGCTATCTATGTAAGAACATGAAAGAATGGCATTTATATTAATTATTTTAAACAAAAGCCTATTAGCCTGTGAAATACTGCCAGTTCTCAATAGGCTAAAAACAGTTCACAGTACGATTCAACCACTGTTTGGAAATAAGGCAGAAAGGCAATAGATTGTCTGAACACTTAAATAAAAACCTCAGCTTTCCTATAAAAAGGTAATTCTGTATTTCTCACTGGATAATCCTAAGAGTTATAATTTACGTCAAGCTGCACTTAGATGGAAATTGGACTCCAATTAGTAATAAAAACTACACTTTCATTTTACCTAGCTAAGTAACATTTGTATCTCAGAAAAGCAGGTGCAAAAACAACATTTCAATTTAAGATGCATAAAGAGTTAAACCAAGGAACATTAACTTCAGTGAGGAAAGCTGATTGTTGTTCTCATCACCTCGTCCTCCCAGATATTACATTCCTGTCTCAGTTTTGTACCCGGGCTGGAAGAACAAAAGGCAATCTACCCCGGTTTTTCAGTTTCCACCACTGTCTCCTACTGAAAGAAGCCGAGCTGGTTGAGAAAATGAAACCAAACCAGCCAACTGTCGCACATCATCCCTCCACACTGGTGCTTAGGCTGGAATTATCTAGAACTGGCTTCCTATCAATAGTGATGCTGAACTCAAGCACTTAGCCAAGCTGCTTCCCCAGAAACACTGGTTTTCATTAAGAGGAGTGACAAAATACACTCTTCAGTTTGCATGAGAGCACATTCAAACAAAGAGCAACATTTGGCCAAAAGAGCAATGAGAACTCAGAATTCTCCCTCCGATCCTTCAAACCTATTTTTAAGATAAGATATTTTTAAGTTTAACAGATACATAATTTAAGATGTAACAACCACCTTAGAAAACAGACTTCAGTTTTCAGCTGCTGGACCAAACAGCCCAGCCGCTCACATGGCTCAGTTCTGTTCTGCAAGTACAGGAGGAAAAGTGCCCTGGAAGTAGGGAGGGCTTTCACATGTCTGTGCTCACTGCTGCCTTGGTTTAAAAGGAGTTAATGAGTCCAGCTGGGTAATTAGCGCTAGGTATGTAACGCTTCCAATGAACCTGCGCTTCCCTTATTTCTGAGGGCATCAGTTGCACTCACGGCAATGCTTTGCAGAGCAATGAGAAGAGCTGATCCCGGAACAAAACAGCATGGCCTACGATGCTGCAGGCTTGCAGGCAGTGGCAGGGCTCTGGTAGCCCAAAGGACTGCGCTGGGCACATCTCATCATTCACAGTAACACACCACCAGAACAGCTCGCTACTTCATAGTTCGCTACTTCATAGGGGCACATCTGGAACCAGATATTAGGACAAAAAATAAAAACAACCAACATGTGAGAGTATATCTGCCTATATATATATAAATGCATATATATATATACATATATATATAAATATATAAATAAAACACACTCCTGGAACCAAAAACAATGTAAAATCAAATAAACAATAGCTAAAGTCCTGCTTCCTTCATAGGGTTTTATCAACATAGAGAAAACTGAGCGCTGGAAAAAACAAGGGATTCAAGTCAGTCAAAGCGCATAATTAAATGAAAAACACCGTTACACGAATGCAACTTTCTTCTGCAATATTGTCGCCTACCAGAACACCCCTCACCAAACACCTCCCAGCTCTCCTCACTCAGCAGGCTGTCACAGCACGGTGTCATCGAGCCCCGGTGCCTGCACAGCACCACCTGAGGGCAGTGCCTTCAGCCGGGCAGCACCAAGCAGCACACACGGCAAACGCTGCGATCAGAGCTGCCTCAGGACAACATAACCAGGCAGGCGATACAACGTGTTACCAAACGTGCTTCTGCGGTACTCTCTTCCTTCAGCAGTGGCAAATTAAGAGCAGAGGGCGAAAAAGCCGCGGAGGAAGAACGGCATGGATCAGTGCAGTGCCCGCCTGCTATATGTGCACACACAGTGCCCCGGCACCCAGGGCTCAGCACGCACAGTGCCAGCACACAGCTCAGAGATGGGGATCGCAGAGCACAGCCCCCAGCGGGTCAGAAGGGCAGCGGGAATCTTGCCGTGCCTGGGAGCCGAAGAACCAGATCTTCTCACCCTTCAATCACAGCACCGATTCGCAAACCAAAAGTAAAAGAGGAAATGGCTGAGCGAGGGCAGGAAGCCCCTGAGCTCTCCTCCTGCAGCCGATCTCTCAGACGGATGGATGCTCGCTCGTTCTTTTTTTTTTTAATCTGCAAACCCTACGGCAGCAACAACGGCCACGCAGGAACCGCACGCTTCGCCGACAATTGGTACGTTCTCATCTCCGCATCGGTTTCCCCGGCCCCGGGACGGGCTGCTCCAAACCACCGGCCCCAGACGGCGCGCGGGAACGGACCGCGTCCCGCCCGGCCCCGATACCGCCGCGACGGTCCGTCCGAGCGCCGTCCCGCACAGCGCTCCTCGCGGCGCGGCGGGTCCCGGGACAGGTGCCGCAGCCCCGCGCCGCCCGAAAGCCAGGCGGCCGGAGCGTCCCGCACAGAGAGGCCGCGTGAGGCCCCGCTACGGCGGCAACAAGTTTCCGCGGGCGTAACGCGCTCGAAGCGGCACCGCCGGCCCTCAGCCGAACGAACGGGGCCGGGCGGGATCGCGCGGGACCGCAGCCGCACGGCCGCGCGCCGCCTCCCGCTGCTCTCGCTATTCCCACCGCTCACGGCGGAGCCGCGGTCCCAAGTTCGGGAACTCGCGCGGCACCGCCCGGCCGCGCCCCCCGCCCCGCCCCGCGCCCCGCCGCGCATCCCCGGGACCCGGCCCGGCCCGGCAGCGGCTTCGTAGGACAAAGGCCGGAGCCGCGGGGAGCGGAACGGAGCGGAGCGCAGCGCCGGGCGCGC